ACTGCCTGCAGCGAGGCTAACTGCATGCCGCAAGGCTAACTGCGTGCAGCAAGGCTAACTGCCTGCAGCTAGGCTAACTGCCTGCAGCGAGGCTAACTGCGTGCAGCTAGGCTAACTGCCTGCAGCAAGGCTAACTGCGTGCAGCGAGGCTAACTGCATGCAGCTAGGCTAACTGCATGCAGCTAGGCTAACTGCCTGCAGCGTGGCTAACTGCGTGCAGCGAGGCTAACTGCGTGCAGCTAGGCTAACTGCGTGCAGCTAGGCTAACTGCCTGCAGCGATTCTAACTGCGTGCAGCGAGGCTAACTGCGTGCAGCGAGGCTAACTGCGTGCAGCTAGGCTAACTGCGTGCAGCTAGGCTAACTGCCTGCAGCGATTCTAACTGCGTGCAGCGAGGCTAACTGCGTGCAGCTAGGCTAACTGCATGCACTTTTCCCCCCCAGCTTCCTGTTTACCACGACAGTCCGCCGCAGCGATCTGTCTATCGATCTAACGCTCCATCCATCCATTCATCACTCGTCAACATATTTCAGACGTCCTGCCAGCTAAACAGCGGGTCTGTAGGCCTGACCGGATCACCTTCATGTACCAGCTTCTGATCTTCACCTGGTTAACATCTGGTCAACCAGGGTCAGCGGCGCTGGAAGGAGCCATGAAGAAGAGGATAGATTAGAGGCAGGGAGCGAAGGGGAGATGCCCAGAGGAGACCGACAGCAGAGCCAGAGCTGGCCTCTAGAGCTGCCGTTGTCAAACCCTCTTCTTCACAAGTGAACATAATCACTGCAGGACAGAGATAACCAGGGGGGGGGGGGGCTGATGGATGAATGACGGACAGCGGGGGGATGGAGGCCAAGATGGCTGCTGCTAGGCGATAGGGAACAACAGAGAGGCTGGAGCGGCTGCTGTCCAGGAACCACGGCCTCACCAGGATGGGAGATGGGGGGGGGGGCTATGCTGGATGTGGTTTTTTCTTATATTTTAAAATCTCCAGTTGTCCAGATTTATCCATCAATGGCAGCGACAGCAACAATGGGAGGAAGGAGACCCCAGATATGAAGCTCTGGGCCACAGATTTCCAGTTTGCCCATCAGGCGCTGTGGGATGATGCTGTTGCTAAGAGACGGAGCTCCTGTCCTCCATGTTGGTTTGATTCCCGCTGATTTTCCGGAATGTCTTCACTTCCTGCACAGCGACTCCAGGAAAACACCATCTGGACCAAACTTTTCTAAGGAAACTTCCAGGACTGGTTATTAGGACGATAAATATTATCCGGTCAGTGATGGAATAACGGGAATGTTATCCGGATCCTTTGGGTTTCCTCACTCTTCCTTTAACGGGAAGTTTTTATTTTCACAGCAGGTTAAGGAAGCCGGACTGCTGCCTAAAACAGCTGGATTAGAGAGGCAGAGTCTAACCAAAGCACAGGCAGGGCAATCAGTCCTGACTGGAGGTTAATAGGTCCCCCCCCCCTCCTCTTCGCTTCTGGCAGACCCCTTTTGGATCCACTCTATAAACATGAATCTATAGAGCAGATTGGGTGATAAGGCTGTGTGTTTGTAACGGCCAGGGACAGGGATGAATGAAGCTGCAGCGTTCTGCTCCCTCCTCTCTGTTACTGCGCGTCGCTCGCTCTGGTTTAACATCATGAACCAGATCAGGTTTGTTTACAGATGACTGACCAGAACGGCTCAGTCAGGACGATTGTTTAATCCGTCCAGTCCGTCAGAACCTGGCTGCCGCAGGTCAAAGGTCATGATGAGCTCCGCCTCTCATCCACGGAGCCTCTAAATGTTCAGGTAGACGCCGTTAATAACGGCCACAGCCTGCATCAGGCAGGAAGTCTAAATGTAAAGTTGGATTCTCCCTCAGAGAATCTGCAGAGAGCATTACTGCCCCCCTCTGGACAACAGGCCTAATTACGTGTTTGTTAGATTTCCTCACATAAAAACACCTTTAAATATTCAAAGTCTCCATAAACTTCCTCTAAAAACCACATTATCTGAGGTTACTGATCAAAATGCAGAACAAAAGAACATTTTTAAAACCTTCCCTGCTGGAATATAAACATATTCGCTGTTTTTGATGCTTCTTCTCGTTACAGAAAATGGAAATATTTCATTTATTCCTGTAAACAGGCTGATTAGTTCCAGTGCCATGGAGGCTTTTGGTTCTGTGTGAACCCGTTTGTCTGCATGGCTTTGTTTCCTATAATTACCAACTACAGCTCTATTTCTACCAGCTCTTTATTTGCTATAACTGCTGTATAATTGCCTGCAGAATCATTTAGCACTTATGAATATGAAAAAATGCTTCTTCTATCTAATTATGAGCATGCTGCATAATTTAGACTGTTAGTTTGCCCGGCTTAGAGCAGCAGAGGTTTCTATTAGTAGGAAATAATATGTTTCTTTAACGGTGCCTCATAATTATGACAGCGATAAACTTGATTACAGTTTGTATTTATTTTTTCATCTTAACTTAAACTTCCTGCGCTGCGGTTCTGGCTGCAGGTGAGAAAACCTCCAGACAAAGAAGGTCGTATTTCAGTCCCACCTTCTACCTGCAGAATCGACGCCATTAAATCAACCTGCTGTCTAACGGCTCCACCAAAGCTTTCATTATTTATTTATTAATTTATTAGGATATTTCCCTCAATTACAGGAAAACATGCTTTATGCTGCATTCATTGTTTCTCTTTCAAATCCCATAAAAACCAACATTTTTATCCCACTAAAGGTTTCTATTGTTGCAGGTATTTGTTGTGGCAGCTTCAGGCAGTGTTTGGAGCTGCAGCAGGGAAGCCCTAGATGATGTTAAACAGAAAGGAAGAGAGAAACGCGCCGCAGGACGTCCCTCAGCGCCGCCATTTCATCCTGACGCCTCGATGATCAGAACGAAGGAGATCAGAGCGAACGCAGCATCAGAAGAAAGAGGAGGAGAAAAAGCAGGAAGTGAAATGTTTCACTAAGAGAAGATGAATTTTATTCATTAGGGCCTTTCCAGACTCTTAAGGTCTGTTTGCATCAAAAACAAACCTGGAAGGAACTGATTTGGAAATTAAGGATCCATAAAATCAGGGGTGGATTTAGCAAATCTGGGGCCCTGGGCAAAGACAGGAAGGGGCCCCTCTGAATGGAGAAGACAACACATCAAACAGCCCCATTCTCCAGATATAGAAATGTTAATAGAATAGACATCCATTATCTGTTCTAGGTTGTGTCCCTCTCTTCTTGTCCCTTTTCTTCTTGTTTTCCTCTCTATGTTTTGTACTCAGCTGACTTTTCATGCTGTCTCTAAAGGAATGAAAGATTTTTTCCAAGCACTAAGCTCACTTAGCTGATTGCTCCTTCCTGTGTTTCCAAAAAGGCGACGGCAAAAGGTGCCCAGAAGCACCATAGAGAGCGTCGTGCATTCATTAACTGATAATCCCTCCCCCACAAACACATTTCCAAAGTGAATCTCATCACCATCCCTTTGCAGAAAGTCCTAATACTGTTGTCACTTTATACCAGTGTTGCCTTGTCTGTCTGTATATACTTAATGTGTATGTATATATATATGTATATATATATATATTTTTTTTTTATACTTTGTATTCTTCTTCTTCTTTTTTCCTACTGTACTGTGATGCAACGCTGCAATTTCCCCACTGTGGGACAAATAAAGGATTATCTTATCTTATCTTATTCTGTCTGAGTGTGATGGATCCTCTGGTTCCTTTATTCCTGCAGTAGTTTAGTTTAAAGCTGTTCTTGGTGAGTGAAGCTCTCTCAGTGGATTGTTCCACCTGAGCTGTGGATCACTGCAGCTCCTCCACACCAACCACAGGGCTGCCTCCTGTGGTTTAGCTGTGTCCCTTCAGGACTCATTTATTCTTCATAACAAACTGAACCGTTATGCAGCGCTTCGTTGCCTTTATCCCATAAAATCTCCCAAAAAAGAAAATATGATGAAATTTATAGTTTAAATCTGACAAAATGTGAAGAAAATCCAAATAGTTGAAGGTGCTGCATCCCGGCAGAGGCAGAGGCTCTTCTGAGCACAGAGCCGCCGCCGCTGCCGCCGCCGCAGGGTAAATCATGGCCGTATCGATCTCCAATGCGCTTTTTTTCACCTGTCATGTCAGTTTAGCGGCTCAGCAACATTCGCCTTTAAGACTCCATCAATAAGAGACTGCGGCGCTCAGCGGTCAGAGAGGAGAGAAAATACGAGCAGCTGGAGCTTCGCTACTAAGAGCTTTACAAGCAGGAAAACTTCTCAAAGTTTTTAGATTAAATATAGATTAATCCTGACTTTTAATGAATTGTTGATCTGAATCATTTTATTGTTCTTTGACTCACCGACACGGAGAGGGAGGAATGGCCGACAGGTTAGAGCAGAGCTCTGCTGTCAGAAGGTCGCTAGTACCAGCTCCCATCCCCACTGCCTGCACTCTGGGTCCCTGAGCCTGACCCTTAACCTGCTCCCCGGGCGCCGCTCCATGGCAGCCCACTGCTCCCCAGGGGGAGGGGTTAAATGCAGAGAGGGAATTTCTCCAATGTGATTCAATAAAGTTCAGTTATTATCATTATAGATTTCAGCTGCTTTAAAATCACTATTCTGGATTCATTTCCTGGTTGGCTGCTTCTTTGCTGCCTGGTTTCCAGATGCGCTCAGCCTTTCTTTGCCAACTGATGCTCCATGGATGTCAGCTGTTCTCCCAGTTTAAGAAGAACTTCTAAACTTGATCAGACGACAGGAACCGAAGGTGGAACCGACGTTAACTAAACCGCCTTTAGGAAACAGTAAAGGTTTCTGAGCCGCTGCAGTAAAACCTGAGGAGGTTTGGGATCTAAACTAAACATTCATGGGATTCTGGTGGAATAATAACAATAATAATGAACTACAGTGTTTACTAAAAATAATGCAACTGTCTTTATTTAAAAGGGAAAACTGATTAAACTGCTTCAGACACCAGGTGGCGCTGCAGCAGCTGCAGAGGGAGGGATGGTGTTTACTGACCGTTCGCAGGAGCAGGCCACCAGGAGGCTCAGCAGGTTGTAGATGATGAAGGTGAAGATGACGGCGGTGATGGTGCCGCGGGGGATGGCGTAGCTGGGGTTCTTCAGGTCACCTGGGGGGGGCAAACAGGCTCAGCCTGAATAATCAGAACCTCATCGGTGATGAACAGCAGAAGAAGACACAGAGGGTCAGAGGAATGGCAACAGGCTCTGCAGATCTACAGGATTATAGTTGGATTAGCAAAACCTGAGCAGCAGAACTAAAGCTTAATGGAAACCAGTGGAATGCTGGGAAGTTTCTCAATTTAGTCCAACAACTCAGTTTTCCCAAACCGTCTGTGTGATTCCGTCTTTACCAGAGAGCAGGGAAATCTGAGTCCAGCCTGGAGGACGGTAACCAGCAATATATGATAACGAGCTGGTCTGGCCAATCACAGCCTCCTTCCAGCTGGTCTGGCCAATCACAGCCTCCTTCCATAACACCCATCCATTTTCTTACACGCTTAATCCCACTCGCTGATTGGAGGAGGGCGGGGCTAAAGCTGCGCTCGCTGATTGGAGGAGGGCGGGGCTAAAGCTGCGCTCGCTGATTGGAGGAGGGCGGGGCTAAAGCTGCACTCGCTGATTGGAGGAGGGCGGGGCTAAAGCTGCGCTCGCTGATTGGAGGAGGGCGGGGCTAAAGCTGCGCTCGCTGATTGGAGGAGGGCGGGGCTAAAGCTGCGCTCGCTGATTGGAGGAGGGAGGGACTAAAGCTGCACTCGCTGATTGGAGGAGGGCGGGGCTAAAGCTGCGCTCGCTGATTGGAGGAGGGCGGGGCTAAAGCTGCGCTCGCTGATTGGAGGAGGGCGGGGCTAAAGCTGCACTCGCTGATTGGAGGAGGGCGGGGCTAAAGCTGCGCTCGCTGATTGGAGGAGGGCGGGGCTAAAGCTGCGCTCGCTGATTGGAGGAGGGCGGGGCTAAAGCTGCGCTCGCTGATTGGAGGAGGGAGGGACTAAAGCTGCACTCGCTGATTGGAGGAGGGCGGGGCTAAAGCTGCACTCGCTGATTGGAGGAGGGCGGGGCTAAAGCTGCGCTCGCTGATTGGAGGAGGGCGGGGCTAAAGCTGCACTCGCTGATTGGAGGAGGGCGGGGCTAAAGCTGCACTCGCTGATTGGAGGAGGGCGGGGCTAAAGCTGCACTCGCTGATTGGAGGAGGGCGGGGCTAAAGCTGCGCTCGCTGATTGGAGGAGGGCGGGGCTAAAGCTGCGCTCGCTGATTGGAGGAGGGCGGGGCTAAAGCTGCACTCGCTGATTGGAGGAGGGCGGGGCTAAAGCTGCGCTCGCTGATTGGAGGAGGGCGGGGCTAAAGCTGGACTCGCTGATTGGAGGAGGGCGGGGCTAATGAAGAAAATGAAGTCTGAAACTGAAAGGTGTTGGACTCCCTCACAGGTGAGGACCTACCTGACATATTGGAGCCGGCCATGATGCCGGTGCAGCCGTTGAACATCACGGCGAACACCGTGGCGAAGGTCATCATCTTCCCTGTGGTGTAATCCTCAGTGTAGCCACCTACAAAATGGAGGACAACATGACGCCATCATCATCAGGTTAGACCATCGTGGTTAGAAGCTGCTCTGCTGATCCAGAAACACTGATCTATCTCTATAGTTCTGCTGCTATAGGCTTAGACTGCTGGAGGACAGAGGGACCCCTTTTTCATCATTCTGCTAATTCTATCTCTATTCTCTGCCGTGTTTGTTAGATCAGTCGGTCTCTTCCTGCTCAGCCTGTAAATCAGGGACTGGATGCAATCAGCTGGTTTTCCTTTGATAGAAAACTTTGAACCTTTAATCTGTTTGATCTGATTGATCTGGATCTATAAAGTGACCTGAGATGACGTGTTGAAGACTGGGGGATAGAACTAACCTGAACAGAAATGTCCTGATTAATGGAAGCCAGCCCTTCTTACCGTACAGGTTTCCCAGCAGCGTTTCCAGTTTGAATCCAGTGAAATTAGCGGTGGTGGGAAACCTGGGCTCCGTCCCGTTCACCTGAGGGCCGAAGGCGCTGGAGCTCGGCAGCACGATTGTTCTTGGATGCACCACAAAGAAGCTAATGAAGATCATGACCAGGACGAAGATGACCACTAGGAAGATGACGAAGGTGGCCTTGGCGTAGATGTGGGCTCCCACCAGGCACACCAGCAGGCAGAGCAAGGCCACGCCCGTGGCGTACAGCAGAGACCACCAATAGCCTGATGGCAGGATCTGATGCACGCTAGGAACCACAGACGGATCTGAAACGACACGTGAGGAGCTGCAAGACTTAGATGTTTGGATAAGAGTGAGTCTCTTCTGTGGGACGTTTCCACCATCGTCCTGCAGGACGATCACATCTGGTCACTAAATGCAGGAGGAGACCTGCAGTTATTCCTCCTCAGTCTAACGAGTCTCTATATCTGCTGAGTCACAGGAAGACTAGGAAATGAACCTTTTAAGCGGTGAAGTTAGGGAACCACCTTCTCTGATCCACAAAGATCAGAACGAAACGAAAAAAATTAAAATCACTGAAACAAGAAGAAAGAAAATCAGCTTTCATCTTTAAAGACTGTTGCCATGGTGATGGAAGAGGAGAAGAACGGACGTTTTTTCACGCCAGTGTTCTGTCAGACCAGCGAACTTATAGTCAACAGCGTGCAAAAGGCGTCACATTTACGTTTATCCCTTTAGATTTAAACGAAAAATAGACTTTAAACTCCCTAAACGGGCGATTATCCCTTTAGATTTAAACGAAAAATAGACTTTAAACTCCCTAAACGGGCGATTATCCCTTTAGATTTAAACGAAAAATAGACTTTAAACTCCCTAAACGGGCGTTTATCCCTTTAGATTTAAACGAAAAATAGACTTTAAACTCCCTAAACGGGCGTTTATCCCTTTAGATTTAAACGAAAAATAGACTTTAAACTCCCTAAACGGGCGATTATCCCTTTAGATTTAAACGAAAAATAGACTTTAAACTCCCTAAACGGGCGATTATCCCTTTAGATTTAAACGAAAAATAGACTTTAAACTCCCTAAACGGGCGTTTATCCCTTTAGATTTAAACGAAAAATAGACTTTAAACTCCCTAAACGGGCGATTATCCCTTTAGATTTAAACGAAAAATAGACTTTAAACTCCCTAAACGGGCGATTATCCCTTTAGATTTAAACGAAAAATAGACTTTAAACTCCCTAAACGGGCGATTATCCCTTTAGATTTAAACGAAAAATAGACTTTAAACTCCCTAAACGGGCGATTATCCCTTTAGATTTAAACGAAAAATAGACTTTAAACTCCCTAAACGGGCGTTTATCCCTTTAGATTTAAACGAAAAATAGACTTTAAACTCCCTAAACGGGCGTTTATCCCTTTAGATTTAAACGAAAAATAGACTTTAAACTCCCTAAACGGGCGTTTATCCCTTTAGATTTAAACGAAAAATAGACTTTAAACTCCCTAAACGGGCGTTTATCCCTTTAGATTTAAACGAAAAATAGACTTTAAACTCCCTAAACGGGCGATTATCCCTTTAGATTTAAACGAAAAATAGACTTTAAACTCCCTAAACGGGCGTTTATCCCTTTAGATTTAAACGAAAAATAGACTTTAAACTCCCTAAACGGGCGTTTATCCCTTTAGATTTAAACGAAAAATAGACTTTAAACTCCCTAAACGGGCGTTTATCCCTTTAGATTTAAACGAAAAATAGACTTTAAACTCCCTAAACGGGCGATTATCCCTTTAGATATAAACGAAAAATAGACTTTAAACTCCCTAAACGGGCGTTTATCCCTTTAGATTTAAACGAAAAATAGACTTTAAACTCCCTAAACGGGCGATTATCCCTTTAGATTTAAACGAAAAATAGACTTTAAACTCCCTAAACGGGCGTTTATCCCTTTAGATTTAAACGAAAAATAGACTTTAAACTCCCTAAACGGGCGTTTATCCCTTTAGATTTAAACGAAAAATAGACTTTAAACTCCCTAAACGGGCGATTATCCCTTTAGATTTAAACGAAAAATAGACTTTAAACTCCCTAAACGGGCGTTTATCCCTTTAGATTTAAACGAAAAATAGACTTTAAACTCCCTAAATGGGCATTTATCCCTTTAGATTTAAACGAAAAATAGACTTTAAACTCCCTAAACGGGCATTTATCCCTTTAGATATAAACGAAAAATAGACTTTAAACTCCCTAAACGGGCGTTTATCCCTTTAGATTTAAACTAAAAATAGACTTTAAACTCCCTAAACGGGCGTTTATCCCTTTAGATTTAAACGAAAAATAGACTTTAAACTCCCTAAACGGGCGTTTATCCCTTTAGATTTAAACGAAAAATAGACTTTAAACTCCCTAAACGGGCGTTTATCCCTTTAGATTTAAACGAAAAATAGACTTTAAACTCCCTAAACGGGCGTTTATCCCTTTAGATTTAAACGAAAAATAGACTTTAAACTCCCTAAACGGGCGATTATCCCTTTAGATTTAAACGAAAAATAGACTTTAAACTCCCTAAACGGGCGATTATCCCTTTAGATTTAAACGAAAAATAGACTTTAAACTCCCTAAACGGGCGTTTATCCCTTTAGATTTAAACGAAAAATAGACTTTAAACTCCCTAAAGGGGCGTTTATTCCTTTAGTGATGGAAAAAAAAACTATTTACGGTCAGATCGTCGTACGCTTCATAAAAACTATAAGGATAAACTAAAGGGATAAATTCTCTCTGCTTTTTCTATAAGCAGCTTGATCTGAACTGTTTTCCAGTGTAGTCCTGTTTCTCTGACTGTGACTAACTGGATGTGCTCTCTTCATCCTCTGACATGGGAGCTGGCTCGGAGCTCGTCTGCCTGGCTGTGTGTTTCCTGGACGGGGCCGCCTGTGGAGCTGGTTGACAGTTGCCTTTTGTATCTATGCTTCTTTTTCTATGTCTGCTTCTGTCTCCTTGAACCCCAGTGGGCCTCAGCAGATGGCCGCTCACACTGAGCCTGGTTCTGCTGGAGGTTTCTTCCTGTTCAAAGGGAGTTTTTCCTCTCCACTGTCGCTACAAGCATGCTTAGTGTGAGGGATTTGTAGCCCTCAGCTCCTAAGTCCTTTTAATTTGACGGGCCACGCCCTGTGCGACATCACCCCAACTCTATTTACCTGCAGAGTCAGAGTGCCACTCCCTCCTCCATTCCCCACCTGTGGCTGTCGCATGCTCTGTTGGCGTCTCATTTCAAAAAAAGTTACTGGATCTTCCTAAAGATCTAATATTATAAGCTGTCTTTTGGACTCGCTTCTCTCTCACAACTTGGGCCAAACCGCTCATGTTGTCTTTCATTAATACCACTACACAGACGGAGATCAACTTGTCATCCCTTCAACGGTCAGGTTTTTTTTTTATGCCAGAAAAAGGACATCACCCTCACTACAATCTGGTTCACAACAACTTTTTCTTTTTCTAATTCAACTGAAGATGGCGAGCTAAGACCTCTACCTGTGCGGTAGGATACAGACTCTTCTTTCCTATAAGGATAAAAACTATTCTCTTCTCAACCCTGGATTTACCATAGCGTATGGACTAATAAACTAACCTAATGAAC